TGGAATTACACAACCACGAATCTGCTAGCAGCAGGAAGTCGAAGATTGTACAACAACAGACGAAAAAACCACAAACTATTAACCTAAAAAAAAAAAAAAGTTAATAACACAACTCAACAGCACGGATTAAGCAACAAAGTAAAAAACCAAAAAAGCGTCAAATAAACTGCATTACAAGCTAATTAAACTAACAGAAATACCAAAAACTACACCAGGGGCAACATCAAATGACACCAAGGACGACACCGAAGACACCAAAGACACCAGCAACAATGCGACGACACCAGCGACGATACAGACAACACTAGTGAAGACAACAGCGACGACGCGACAACACCAGCAATGGCACGGCCTGAAAAAAAAAATAAGTCAAAACAGAAAAATGCAAACAGAAAAAAATTACACCTGATCATTGTTTATATATTCCGTGATCAGGCAGTGTGGGTACACAAAATTAAATTTTTTTATTATATCAAAAGATAGCACTATAGTGCTATAGCACTATAATGCTATAGCACTACAACAATATTTCCAATAATAAATTTAATTGTTTTTTTTTTAGTACCATCGAAATAATTATAAAAATTAATCAAGAAAATGCAATTGCACCAGAAAACCTTGTAGGTAGACTTTATTTGGTAATAAATGCTACTTTTACCCCACTTTATGTCTATCCATCTTCTATATGAGTGTCGCCAAAAGAAAACATGCACATTTATATATAGTATATACTATATATAAATGTGCATGTTTTCTTTTGGCAACACTCATATGTACAGTATGTCATCTATATATGCTTACATAAATTTGTTTCTTGAGGATTTGTTTTTTTAGTATTGTATCTTGTGAGGGGCGTTAATCCCCGCAGCATTGTGAAATGATTTTTAACCGATCTTTGATTAATAAGTAGTAGAAATTTTTTTATAACTATAATTAATATAGTTTATTTAATTGTTATATTAGGTTTTGAGCAACTTAGATGAGGACCGATCGATTAAATTTTCTCCACACTGCTCGGTCGTCCCATCTAAATTACTCGAAAACTATTACAAAACTTAATAAACTTGGATTAATCATAGCTATAAAAAATAAATTTCTCGTAACTTTATTTATTGACCGAAGAACAATTAAAAATGCCAATTTTTACAAAATTCGGTTCGGGACCGATTAATACTGTATCTCTAAACATTGTAAAATGACGCGTGAAAATTGTGAAGTTTGATTGGTTAATAGTTACATGTAGATCTGCAAAAAGTCGGCCAAACTTCTGCCGACGTGATCAAGAAATCTTGCTCCGAAAACTAAAAATTACTTTGTTTATTTACATTCTGTATTGACGTTTTTTTTTCCATTTTTTTCATGTTTAGTTAATGTTCTTTTTTATTAATAAGATGATTCGTAATTTAAGACTATCATTCTCAGTGGATTCGAAAGTATGTACATTTGAAGTTACCTTTAAACTGACAAGTATTCGGAGTTATAGAATGAAATTTTGTCCCAGATTGGAATTGTTCCGATTCAGATGGGAATTTTGTAAATTATTTTGGTAAAGATTTTAGGTTAGAAGGTTATAATTAAGGCCAATATTACGAAATTCTCATTTAGGACTGTTCCAATTCCGTATCATGCTGATTCTAATATTAATATGAACAATGTACACGTCCAAAAATGTAAGGGATCCTTAAAAAAATACTTTAAATAGTTTCTTTCTTATGCTGAATATATCGTATATTAGTGCATAACGAGATCATTTAAAAAATTGATCGCCAATAAATCATAGTAATTTTTTACATTACTATATCAGATATAGATTAATGTACATAACGATAATGATTATAGACAGACCTGAATTTTCAAAATTGCACTTTTGATACAACAATCCAAGTTAACTTATAATGTCAATCAAAAACGTAATTGTTGATGCATCAAAGATAACTTGTATGGTGTTAATTAAAAATTAAATAAATTAAATGTTCTCCGCTACGCTCCGGACGATCAAATTAGATTTTGGTCTCTTTAACTTATAACTATCGAAATAATGGGGAAAATTTTTACGAAACCAATTAAGACGTTTGAAATAAAAATAGATAAGGAACCTGATAGTTATTCGGTACAACTAAATGGAAAACACACGCTCTCAGAAGTTCGAGGACATTTATTAAATAAATATAATCAAGACTCAAAAGGATGCGTATGCTTAGATGACAATATGTATTTTCTTGATAAACATGATGCTATTATAAGTCAAAATGATGAAAAGAATTATAAATTAAATAAAATACTTCATGATAAAAAAATTATAAAGTTTAAACGATTACATATCGATGATTTAGAATCTTCAACAAGCACTGTTAGGAAATTGACAATAAAAATAGAAGAAGAACCCCATAGTTATACTGTAGAATTAGATATAAATCAGTCACTTTCAGAAGTTCGAAAACAGTTATTAGATCAATATAAACAAAATAAGATTGGAAGTATACGTCTATATAAGAATATGCATTTTGTTAGTGAAGATGGAGGTATGATAAGCCAAGATGCAGAAAATAATTTTATGTTAAATAAGATACTTTATGATGGAAAAATTATAAAGATTAAAAGATTACGATCCCTTGAGAACATTGATGATTCAGAAGTTATAGAACTATGCCAATTGGAATATGGGATCAAAATATCAAATGATGGGCATGTTATACCTCATAAAAAAGCTCTTGAATTTATTGAACCTTGTGAATTACATGTAGTTGAACTATTACAACCGACTGCTAATATTTATAAAAAAGACGAAAAAATTAAACGAGAAACTATTCGTGAAATTATATGCCAAAAAAATTTAATTACAAAAATGAATGTTTCCCCTGATTTACCTTGGTCTTCAATATCTGCTGGTCTTGACGTGTTGCAGAGAGAATCGACACAAGAGTATGTGTCATTCGATGTTAAATTACGAGGACGTGCCAAAGTAGTAATGACCAATAAAGTTCAATCAACTCAAGACTTTAAAATAGCCGTAGAAAATGCTTTGGATAGTAATAATCCTATTGATGAACTTAAAAATATTTGCGATACGTACGGAGAATTTTGGGCACGCGAAGTAATTTTAGGAGGAATAATAGTTCGAGAAGATATTGTTGAAATTAGTAAACAAGCAAAAGAAAAAGCAGTAGATATTAAGTATAGTGAATCAAATGATAAAAAAATTAACACCAAAAATAAAGAAACTGGTGTTAAGTCCATTTATATTGGAGGAGACACTGATGTTGCTAATAAAGATCTTGAGAAATGGGATAAATCTTTAGAAGATTATACTAAATGGAAAATTGTAGAATTTCGTGATGTAGTCTCGATTTTTGAAATTCTAGACAGTAACCTTCGTAGACGTGTTCTTGGTATTTTAGGAGAAAGAATTGTTTACGCTAAAGTCGATCAACGTAACTTAACATTTTCAAATCAAAAACCATATATTCATGAATTAGATGTACCAGAAAAGTATAAAGGAAAACTTGATGATTATAAAATTTTCGCATCAATAATAAGCGAAAAAAAAGGTACTTTTTTCGTTCGGGTTGTGTATAAAGTAGACTCTGCAGATCTCCTCATCCATCAATTCGGAAAGGATAGTAGGCTTGAATATTCTTTGAAAATAGTATGGATAATCATTGGCATTCCAAATGATTTTAACTTGTTTGACTTGAAGGATTTTAATATGAGTGAATTAGAAATAAAACTTAGCGGCCAAGTTTCAAGTAATAAACTTCAAGAAATTCACGACCTTTATGATAAATACGATGGAGATACTTATCCGATAGTTACTTGCGCATTAAAAGATAGTGAACGTGACCTACATGATTTAAAAATAGTTACTGGAATACACTTTTATCGCACCAATGATAACCATTTAAACATGTGCGTCCATAATTATGATTTGGAAAATAAACGTGAAATAATTGAAAAGAATCTTTCTGTTCAATATTGGTTAGTTTTACATTATTACTTATATATTTATTATGCACGTTACACGTAAAATAATTTTTATTATGATTTTTAATTTTGCTAATTCTATCCACAGCATTGTCCATTGTGGTCATGATTTTGTGGCTCAAGGAACATTGGATAATTCGTTCATTAAAGGAGGAAAAAAAAGAAAAAAAACAACGTGGAAATGCAATCAACCAGCTTTTACAAGTCTTTTTCATACTAGTTGTATTTCAGGAGGATTAAAGATTACTCCTGATAATGCTGTTTTTAAATCTTTTAGAGATGGCATTTCTTTTGATAAAAATGAAGTGCCTGCACTACACTATATAAGTATTTCTCAAAAGAATACATAGTGATTTAGGAAACTGTTATTGACACCGCTATCGAAGTTCTATTTTCTTTCGTCTTATGAAATGTCAAATGAATATAATGAATATAATGAGTGTATCAGGAATAACAAATGTTATTGTAAAAAACTGTCGAATGGATGTGGAATACAATATATGCTATACAATATCAAATCCAAACTCTATATATGTTAAGTGATTATTGGTTCAATTATTTGAGTCTAAAATATTTATCGTTATCAATCATCTCCTTAATTCAGTTAATAAATATACTCTTATTATAATTTTATATTTATCTATCGTTTTCATTGTCACTTCTCATTTTTAACTTAGAATTAATGTGCGTACGTACGTACGTACGATGATTATGAATAACGTTAAGATTCTTCCGATAAAGTGTGTAGAAATTACCAGCACAAGAAGTTTTTTAATATATGCGGTTGTTACACCCGAACTACCTCTTTAAAGTACGGGATAACTAAAGACGATAATAATTGAATGTCTCATGTATGACTTTAATACATGCATATAATTACTATTAGCGTTAAAGTGAATTTAGAGTGATTTGCAATTATGAAAGGGGAAAACGACTAAATGTATTTGTATGAGGATACAAATAGGCGTATAGGAGTTTATTGCAGTTTATTTATAGTAGCAGTTTATCTATAATAAGATAATGATCGTTCACAATAGCCACGTGATTGAGAACCTAACGATTTAAAAAGACAATGTTAAGGTTAGACCCGGGGTTTACAAATTTAGCGGCTTTACTTATTTGTGCCGGTAATACAAACTCCTAAAAAGGAAATAACCAATCAGTGAGTTCGAATTTTGATCGTTCCGGATCAGCCCACATGAATTCCGAACACGTGTGAAAGAAGAAAAAAGCGAAAATACTCAAAAACTAGTGTTTAAATCGACCCTGGTACACTAATCGAAAATGTTGGGAACGAAATTTTACATATAACAAACAACAGTCTATGGCTATAGCTTCTAACGCTAATGTTCTAACCCTAAATTTGTGTCTTTACGCACTTTGTTTATTTACAAAATTAAAATTCCTTTTTTGGGTTGTATTACCGGCACAAATAAGTAAATCCCAAATTTAGCGTTGACCCCATGTATAAATAGTGTGTAAAATCATGTGATACATACAATTGGGTCTACGATAAATGTGTAAACTCCGTCTATTCTAAAGGTGTCCGTTTTTAAATAGTCGTGTATGATGTCACTAGCGTTGTAAATCTAAGTTAATTATAATGATAGTATCGTGTAACCTATGTACAAGTTATCATTATCTAAATTACGTACGTACGTACGTTGTGAAAGTGCGAAAATACTCTGGGACCTGGATAATCGAAATACTACAATATAACACTACACTTTATACTTACTAAATAATCTAATAATGGTAAGTAGTGTTGCAGTTGTATTTAGGTAATTAATTACGACCGATTGTAGTGAAGTTGCAACTTTTTGGTAGTATTGACGTAGGTAGCAACTCCGGTCGTAGGTCGTAATTATAGTAGTATGTCGTAATTATAGTAGTATGTCATAAATCACGTAGTAAATCAGAAATCTGTAATAATTTCATAACTAAAATAACCGATAAAATATGTACATAGTAATAAAACAATGATACATAATTGATTTATTTAATAATAAAATTTATTAATTTTTAAATTTTAAAGGTTATTCATTTAAATTTTTTTTATATTATACCATATTTACTAATTCAAAAATGACAAGTCTTGAAAGAGAAAGCTTGGATGATGCCTCTGCTATTAGTTCAACACGTTCAACAAGTCTTGAAAGAGAAAGTTTGGATGATGCCTCTGCTATTAGTTCAACATGTTCAACTAAGAGACAAAAAAATTGTGGTCCTAACTTTGATGAAATATGGTCATTTTACATAAAAGGGCCTGGTAGGGGTAATGGGCATTATAAAGCATCTTGTCATTATTGTTCATCTATTTGGGAACGTGGAAAACCACAAGTTATGAAGGCGCATTTGGCCAATCATTGTAAAAATTGCCCTGAAAATATTAGTGATTACTGGCGCAGAAAGTTAATCGAAGAAGCTGATACAATTCGTAGTCGAACAATTGATTTGCAGAATGTGGATTGTATTCCTTCAGAAATAAAATGCCAACTTGATCAATCATTATTAAAGGCATGGGTAATGGCTGGAATTCCATTCAACGTGATCAAAAATCCTTTTATAAAGGATTTATTTAAAAAATTGAAATACGATCCACCATCACGATCTACGCTTTCGGGATGGCTTTTGGATGCTGAAGTAGCATGAGTAACCAATTTGGTTAATCAGGAACTTAAACACTGCGATAATTTAACATTAAGTATGTACTGTATATATATTATGTACAGTATATAAATTTAAACATTTATTTTATTAACTAATTATTAATTTTAGTATTAGATAGTTGGATGTCCCCACGTGCAGATTCTCTTTATAATTACATCATATCTATGACTTATGACAGACTGCAAAGAATATCTCCTAAAATTAAAAAACTATTCAGCAGAAATACTCACGGGAGAATTTTTATTTTCAGAAATTTCTAATTTAATTGAGGATGTTGGAAGTGAGAAATTCGCTGCGGTAGTTATGGATGCGGCATCTAATTGGCGTTATGCAAGAAAAAAAATTCAAGAAACATATTCCCATATTTGGGATATATGATGTGCGGCACATGCGATTAACCTAATTGCATCTGATCTAGTTAAAGAAAATAATATTAAAGATTTAATTAATAAATGTAATAGGATTGTTAAGTTTTTTAAAGAATCGCATCAGGGCAATTCATATTTACGACAGGGTTTGAATGAAATGAAAATTCGACTCGAAGGGCTTCATATGTGGTGTCGAACTTGTTGGGCTTCACTATTTTTTACTACCGACTCTATATTACATGCTAGGCCCGTATTTGATTGGGTAAATAATTTTTTGTTTTTTTTGTTTTTTGCATAATTTAATATAATTCTTTTTTTTTTACATAGATATTAATAGAGCATCGAGATGTTATTTCCAACACTGAAGTTCTTATACTATTAACTGACGAAGAATTTTTTACAAGCTGCCGGCAAATTAAGGCTCTCTGGACGCCGATTAAAGAGGTTATAGACGTATTGAAAAGTAAATTGGCGAATTTAGCCGATTTTTTTAATTATCTAATTAAACTCGCAATAGCGATACACTGAATACCTTTAATTAATCCGTTTAGACAATACGCAATCAAGGTTTTTTTTTTTTTTTTTTTTTTTTTTAATATTCGCGGTTTACGCGAGATATTGTTTTTCAAGGTTTTTAATCAAAGGTTTAGAGAATTTCACCATCCTATTTATATACTGTCATATTTTATTCATCCCTGTTACCATAGTAAGTATCATATATATTCTTTATTTAAATATACATAAATAACAATTTAAAAAAAAAATTGATTTTAGGGTTCGGCTTAAGGACGGAGGCTTTAGAGAAGCAGCTCTTATCACTACCTCTCTTTGGCAGAGTCTTAACCATACTGAACAAGAAAGTCAAGAATTGATTATACAACTTCAGCATTACAATGCAAGGCTATCTTCGTATGACTTACCTTATACATCTGGAATGGATACGCCAATTTTATGGTGGGGATCAATAAATACCAAACCCAAACACTTGGTTGAATTAGCATGCCGGCTTTTTTCTATTTCCCCATCACAAGCCAGCTGCGAAAGAAATTTTTTCATTCTAAAGTGGATGATTGGTGACAAAAGAATAAGAATAAATGTCGACAATTTAGAAAGTATGGCAAAAATTAGGTCTTATTACATGACTAATATTAAATCCGAATTAAACGACTATAGAAAAGAATTTACCGAGGCCGAATTGCAAGAAGCCGTTACCATCTCAGCAGTTGCTGAAGTCTTAGTTTCAGAAAAGAATTCGTCTAGTCTGGAAGAAGTCTCTGAAAATATTGAAAGTGGTTCATTACTTATTGGAGAGATTGTTGATTTATCTCAGTATGATCTAGAAAATGAAATAATTAATGTAAATAGCATCTATGACAATGGAAATATGAAATATTCACCCGAACAATTGGTAGATGAATTTTTAGCCAAAGAATCGGCTTTGGTTGAAAATTATTTAAATTTTTGTAATATAATTTACATTTTAATAAAAATTAAAAAAGTTCGTATTTACTTGTACGTACAGTATGTACATACGTGCATAAAAAAATTTTTTTATTTTTTGGAACTTGTAATACGTTCAATACATATATATTTAATATACGACACATATTACTACATATGGCGCATACTACTACATACAGCGCATAATACTACATACGGCACATAATGCTACCTATGACGCATAATGCGACATACACCACATTTGTAGCAATAATGCGGCAGGTAGTATTACATGCCGTGAGGTATTCTGGGTTGTAATTTTTGGAATGCGCAAGCAACACTAATGGTAAGGTTTCGGTCGAGGCGGGAGCTCTAGACTACGTCACGAGTCTCTTAGTACAAATCTCGGAATTTGGTCACTGCTACTATAGATTTTACTTACCGGTATCGGAGGGATTAGTAAAGCCAATAAAGAACTTAGAAGGTTTCGAACGTACGTACACGTACAATAAAGTCATTATATCAAACTGTATATAATGTATATATTATGCCAATAACAAAATGA